GTTAACCCCTGTTAGTTAACCACTGCTGGTTAACCCCTGTTAGTTAACCACTGTTAGTTAACCTGTTAGTTAACCACTGCTGGTTAACCACTGTTAGCTAACCCCTGTTAGTTAACCACTGCTGGTTAACCCATATTAGTTAACCACTGTTAGTTAACCCCTGTTAGTTAACCTGTTAACCCGTTAGTTAACCACTGCTGGTTAACCCCTGTTAGTTAACCACTGTTAGTTAACCTGTTAGTTAACCACTGCTGGTTAACCACTGTTAGATAACCCCTGTTAGTTAACCACTGCTGGTTAACCCATATTAGTTAACCACTGTTAGTTAACCCCTGTTAGTTAACCTGTTAACCCGTTAGTTAACCCCTGTTAGTTAACCACTGTTGGTTAACCTGTCAGTTAACCACTGTTAGTTAACCACTGCTGGTTAACCCATGTTAGTTAACCCCTGTTAGGTAACCTGTTAGTTAACCCATTAGTTAACCACTGTTAGTTAACTACTGTTAGTTAACCACTGCTGGTTAACCCATGTTAGTTAACCTGTTAGTTAACCACTGCTGGTTAACCCCTGTTAGTTAACCACTGTTAGTTAACCTGTTAATTAACCACTACTGGTTAACCCATGTTAGTTAACCCCTGCTGGTTAACCCGTTAGTTAACCCCTGTTAGTTAACCCGTTAGTTAACCACTGTTAGTTAACCCCTGTTAATTAACCCCTGTTAGTTAACCACTGCTGGTTAACCCCTGTTAGTTAACCCCTGTTAGATAACCACTGCTGGTTAACTCGTTAGTTAACCTGTTANTTAGTTAACCTGTTAATTAATTATTGTTAGTTAACCCCTGTTAGTTAACCACTGTTAGATAACCACTGCTGGTTAACTCGTTAATTAACCTGTTAATTAATTGTTGTTAGTTAACCCCTGGTGGATAACCACTGCTGGTTAACCCGTTAGTTAACCGGTGGTTGGTCCAGGACTGGTGCAGGGTGTGTGTTTGGTGACTGAAGGTGCAGCTGTCTCTGAGGACGTCCTGCTGAAACAAAGGTCTGTTTGTTTGTTTGAATGTTTTATTGTCTGTTCCTCAAACAGTTTGGATTCTGAGGCTGACAGATCAAAACAACAATAAACAACAAACAACAAGCCTGAAATAAACAAACTGACTAAGATCAGTTCCAGGAAGACCACAAACACACACACAACAATAAATTAATCTTTTATTAGTTTCTTCAAAAGTTCAAATTCAAACCAAACTTCATCAGAAAGACAGACAGGTGTGGAACAGACAGACAGGTGTGGAACAGACAGGTGTGGAACACCCAGGTGTGGAACAGACAGACAGGTGTGGAACAGACAGGTGTGGAACAGACAGGTGTGGAACAGACAGACAGGTGTGGAACAGACAGACAGGTGTGGAACAGACAGGTGTGGAACAGACAGGTGTGGAACAGACAGACAGGTGTGGAACAGACAGACAGGTGTGGAACAGACAGGTGTGGAACAGACAGGTGTGGAACAGACAGGTGTGGAACACATAGGTG